GTTAAAATAGCAGGATTTCTACTATCAAGTATACTACTTGTTGCAAATAGTGGCAATTATCTGCACTTCAGTATTGTAGTACATTATAAAACAGTATGCAATAATAATGTATTGAGTGTAAATTATAATTTTAATTCAAATTATTAAATGGATGCCACCTTATTGGGACAATAAAGCCCTCCCTACATCTAGCCTAACCCTACCCGATACTTTATTTTCAACGTTTCAATTATTTCTTTCATTTTTTTTTTTAAATAAGTGCCTTGCCAATGTGATACGGGATTTGAAAAGGGAGAAAAAAAAAGTTTGGCAAAAGGCGGGATCGAACCCGGGTCGATCGCGTCAAAAACCAAGTCTCAAACTATACCTACCTTTTCCGGTTTGTCTGATTTGTCGTTGTGTTTTCTGACTTGTTATAATGTTTTCTGAATTGTTGTTGTGCTTTCTGAATTGTTATTTTGTTTTTTAGACTTGCATTTGCGTTTGTAATTTGTTATTTTGTTTTCAGAATTGTGATTTGCTTTGCACTTCTCGGCCACCGTAATTTTCCATTGAAATTGAAATATACTTGTGCAGTCATAATAAATTAATACTAGCTTTTCATGAGGAAGTTGTTGAAATGTGTTACAAAATCTAACACTCAAATCAACAACAACATAAAGGGCTTGTTAAATGGGCATTCTTCATCTGTTGTATATAAAAATCATTAGCACATGTGGCAACTACATATAAAAAGGAAATTGCTTTTTAGTAGCCTAATATAAACATTGAGCTGACAATTGATGACTTAAGATACAAATGCCATAGTTTAAAAGAGAAGTGAGTTGCATTTTCCAGGATCAGTTTTTTTCCTAGCGGTCATTGGCTTTGGAATCAACTTTGAATGCACTAGCTGGCTTTCCAAATGCAAAAGGTTTTGTGTGTTTTATGATATGTTTTTATTTATTCTTTCAATCCTGCCCCAGCACAATTACAGGTACATTAAAAACTTGATGGTTTATATACTAGGTGTTCAGCTTTTTTTTAGAGTTGTTTATAATAATCAAATTAGGAGTTGAAATTTGTACATCTTTAAGGTTCATAACAGTTTAATTTTAATGCACATGGCAGGTTAACTCACATACTGTAGTAAGCATGTAGAGTCTGCATTGTGCCTCATTACAGCATACTTCTCTCTTATTTGAATTGCTCTTTCCATTGATTTCACTTGATTGTGTAACTTTCCACATTCTTGACTTTTGGTGCAAAGGGATCTTTCTTGACATCTGATCTTGTGTACTGTGTATACATTTATTGTTCTTCATATTCTTCTGGAGGTTTTATACATGCGAGGAATGCCTTACAGGTCCAGTGTTGTGCCATGCCACGTCATCACACCTGACTATTTTTAATGTAATAGGTCATTCATTGTTTCAAGAAATTGTATATTTCAAAATATATCAATGTATAGCAATGTTCAAATATATGTACATATATGCAATAAAGGGAAGTTCTTTGAAATAGACTTTTCTCAGAAAAATGTGGAAGAAAACAAGTTAACGTGTTTAACTTATTATATATTAGTTTTATGTTATTAGTTGAAAAACCTGCTACATTTTTTATTTGTACAGTGGAAAGTAATGTAGCTAAATCGTGACAGAACTTATTTATGCTCTTTGAATGAACAATACTAGCATACTGTACAACTTTCCATTCATTCATCATTTAAATGTGTCAGTAATAGAGACACAGCTGTAGGGCTGCTGTTTGGATGTCACATGGAAGCTATTACAACTCTCCACTCCCCCAATTATTCACATTCCCGCAACAAAATGGAAAGGGCAGGAGATTTTGTTCCTCCTTTGTTTTGCTGGTTATTTTCCCCTGGTCTTTACCACCATCTATATGATGAGTTACGATTTTACAGATAGAAAGAAGAGGGGTTAATAACAAAAAATATATCAAATAAAATATTTAGGGTCAGTAAGATTTTATAAAAATGAATTTACACTTTTAAAAAACAACATTAGTGATAACAGAAAAATTATGCGCAACATATATTAGTATGATCTGAGAAGGATCATGTGACACTGAAGACTGGAGTAAGGGCTGATGAAAATTCAGCTTTGCATCACAGGAATAAATTACATTTGAAAAATACATTAAAGTAGAAAGCTGTTATTTTAAATAGTAATAATATTTTATTATGAAATAATAAAATAATATCCATCAAATATTCATTAATCATCATAATATTTACATAATATAATCATCATAAACATTGGTGAGCCTAAACATTTAAAATCTCACTGACCCCAAACTTTTTAACATCTTAATTCATCTATGAGCTTAATTCTTTGTTTATTAAAACATCTCTAATAGAAAAAACATCTAACTGACACTAAAAATATTCAGAAGCATTGTTAACATTTTAATTCAGTCCAGTCGTTTCCAGAAATACAAATAAATATACAAGTAGATTAATTCATATCACTACTAAATGATTAGACAACAGAAACATTTAAAAGAATAATTTTACAAAACAGACGCCAAACAACTTGAAAATCAAGTGCTATCCATACAGTATGTGGCCATTAGACAATAAATAGAATTTAAATGTGTTTTCTATTCTGCAAGTGATTGTAACTGATTTTGACTGTCATACAGTGATGCTTTCATAGCAGAAAAGAAAAAAATATGTATGTGATACTGTGGTGACCCATTGGAAGTGAAAAATAAAATCTTTTAAAGGGGTCATATGATGCGATTTAAATTTTTCCTTTCTCTTTGAAGTGTTACAAGTTCTTGGTGCATAAAGAAGATCTGTAAAGTTGCAAACACTAAAGTCTCAAAACCAAAGAGATATTCTTTATAAAAGTTAAGAGTCAGCCACACCTACCTAAAACGGCTCGTTCTGTGGAAAATAATGTGTTTTTTTTACTTTAAACCGCATAAACACATTTCATTACACCAAATACACAAAATAATGTTCTTTTTAGCAGCATCATATGACCCCTTTAACTGTTCATTTCCCTTTGCTTAGTTTGTGATTAAGTGAGATCCAGACCACCAACAATTTTAAATGGAAACGGTGAAATAACCTTTTCCTACCAAATCATGTAAATACAGTAAACCACAGAAAAATTAATATTTTCATCACTCATTTGTGATGCCTTGCCCATCATCTCCTGTTTGTTGCTGCCGTGTGTTTTGAGTTTGAGCTTCGTCAAGTTAATTCTTTATCGTCTATTTTTTTATCTTAAAATCAATTTAATACACCATAATTTTCGTTTCTATTACGTGTGAATATATCC